AATCATAATTTGGGTCAGTTCGAAAACACAGCCTATCCCAAATCTCAAAAAGCCATCCTCTAAAATTTAAAAATTCGACTTCACTACCTTTCCTACTTCATTCCTCATGAAGACCAGATGTCTTTACTAAACCTCAATATAATTTTTCACATAAAATGAATCAAATATCTTAGTAATTCTTAAATCATGCTCCGATACCACTTTTGACAAGCCCCCCAAATTATTATATACAAGAAGTGTGACCTTGTCTAAAACTCCATAATACAAATTATCACATACTTTGAATTATGACTTTGCTTCAGGATTTGGTTATTGATAATTTGATCATTTAGAACACAAACTCTTTCCCAAAACACAAAATGCCATCGTCCAAAATTTAAAAATTCGACTTCAATCAATTTTCTAGTTCAATCCTCAAGTAGATTAAATGTGTATCCCTTAGATACCATTTCTAAATTTATTGAAAGAGATCAGATTGCACATAGATAGAGGCCATCAATATCATTAATTCATACCCTTTTATGATAATATTCAAATTATAATTTGGGTTAGATCGAAAACACACTCAATCCCAAATCTCAATAAGCCATCCTCGAAAATTTAAAATTTCGACTTCACTACCTTTCCTACTTCATTCCTCAAAAGGACCAGATGTCTTTTACTAAACCTCAATATCATTTTGCACATCAAATGAATCAAATATATTAGTAATCCTTAAATCATGCTCCGATACCACCTTTCTCATAGTTGCCCTTTCTAAATTTATTGAATGAGTCATCGATATCATTGAGTCATGCCATTTCCTCTTAATATTCAAATCATAATTTGGGTCATTTCGAACACACACTCTATCCCAAATCGCAATAAGCCATCCTCTAAAATTTAAAAATTCGATTTCATTACCTTTCCGACTTCATTCCTCAAGAGGACCAGATGTCCTTAGAATCCTAGGTTCCTAAAAGATATCAAAGAAATTTTTTATAGCTCTCTATTTAATTTACTAAATCGTAATATAATTTGGCACATCAAATATATCAAATATCTTACTGTGATCCTCAAATAATGTTCTGATACCACCTCTGTCACGCCCCCCGAATTATCACATTTAGGAGGTGTGACCCTGTCTTAAAATCCATAATATTAAAATTTAATCAACAATCTAATACAAAATACAAACTAAATTTGGGGACACCAAAAATCGTTCAAGTCATAATTCACACCCATAATCCACAATTCATATACAAGAAGACCAAATGTCGATGTCATCATAGATTCCAAGAAGACATCAAATATAATTTTCATCGATCTCTATATAATTTACTAAACCTCAATTTAATTTTGAACATCAAATGAATCAAATATCTTAGTAATCCTTAAATCATGCTCCGATACCACCTTTGTCACGCCCCCCAAATTATCATATACAAGAGGTGTGACCTTATCTAAAAATCCATAAAATTAAAATGTAATCAACAATTTGATCCTCAAATTATCACATATTTTGAATTATGACTTTGCTTCAGGATTTGGTTATTGATAATTGGGTCATTTAGAAAAC